CCTTGCATGCTGCAGTAAAAAGCCACTTTAGGGACAGATAATTGCCTCTTATAGAGCAGGCAACTTTGTGTTTACGTAAGTAATGGAGCACTTTTTTAACTTGTCAATTAACATGCACACTCACAACAAAAAGAACAGGAAATAAATCACTCCAAAGAAGGAGAAACAGTCCTCTTTTTGGTCTCTGTCGGTGCTTTCCCTTCATCTAAGCACTTTATGTGGGAAGATTTGAAGAGGTGTTATCCAGCAATCAGCTCCAACACAAACTGGGCCACTCACAATCAACAGCATGATGCATCTGATTATCACAAACTGGGAGGCTCATTTATGAGGCCATTAGGGCCAAACAGTTTGAAAATTAAGTGGCTGATTTTTCTACTTTTACAGCACCCAAAGCCCCCCGAACTACTCTCTACTTTTAAACAAAAAAGAAAAAAAAAGGGGGGGAGGTAGAAAATAGACTAATGCCAAAAAGGGGTGAAAGTGGAGTAATATATTAAAAAAATGATGCAAAAGTTGAGGTGAAAAAACAAAAAAAAGTGTAGACCAACTTACGATTTGCTGCTGCTGAAAAAAGTGGCTTCAAAAACTAAACGGGGGAAACAAAAAAAAAAGGTAGAAATTAGAAAAGAAGGTTTCCAGACTATTCTGATGCTGTCATCACAACAAGCAGGGGAGAAAACGTCAGGGCAAAAAACATGAATGCTACAAAAGCGGCTCATCACTTATTTAGAATAAGTTGTGAGCTCTACATCACACTGTGGTGACAAGAGATCCGGGAATATGAGAAGTCAATTTTTCCAAGGAATTTAATCTTAAACCAAAATTTAAAAACACTAATGGAAAAATATGATTAGACATTTAAAAAAAAAAAAATCACATCTACAATAAAGATACTTATTACAGCTCATGACTGTTTAACTATATGCACTTTAGGTAGTACAGAAGTACTGGACTTCTGATGATGAGGTTTCTTCGATCTTAGATATTCCACGATCAGCTTTAAGTGGTGTTATTGCAAGATGGAAGCATTTTGAAGTAGTAGTGTGCCCGACCTTGTAAAATTACAGACCAGGGTCACCGATGCTTAAAGGTCACAAAACCCCTGCTAAGCAAATTACTGCAGAGCTGCAAATCTCCTCTTGCATTAACATCAGCACAAACACTGTGCACCAGGAGCTTCATGGCCTGGGTTACCATGACTGAGCAGCTCCTGTAGATGTACAGTACAGTTCTGTCCATTTAGCACAGCTAGAATAAAGACGAAGATTTTATTCTTAACAGCTCTGGTAATATTGTGAAACCGGTGTTTATCAAATTTGAGTGCAAGAGCCCCTAGAGGTAATTTTGAGTACTGCATTTAAAAAAATGTAGTAACTACCAAAGAGTGTTTTTACTTTATACCTTCTGGAAAAATCC